TTTGAATATCTCTTAAAGCTGAAAATATACAGAAGTAGGATTTTAAAAATTAAATGGAATGGCAATCATTCAATTACCAGCAATGATGTCCTACAGGTAATATAAACAAGTCACTTGAAATTCCTCTTTTATACTTCTAACATTCCTAAAAATACATTTCCCATTGACACAAAATCTACTTCTTCAGAACACGTATGTGGAAAATTGGAAACACATCAATTAAAAAAAAGCCTAAATTGTATTTCCGTATGTGTTGATGTGAAATAGTTTACTTTTAAGGAAAAATTCATTTGTGTGACTGCATATGATATGAGATGTTATTAGAATTAATTAAACACCAAAGATGATAAAATTAAACAAAATATATTATATAAACCTCAAAGGATTGGCTACAATTATCCATATGCACATATTTTAAAATACAAATCTTCTGGTTTATATATGTTTTTCTTCAAGGCTGAGAATCTCTAACCTGTAAAAATTAACTTTCACAGACATGAAGTCTGAGAGGACATTGATGCAGCCTCACATAACAGAAATTTGGAAGGTTAATGCTACATGAAAACTAAAAACATAATTTTATTCTATCATTTCTCATAAATTAAAGTTCAACTAACTATATACTTCATCATGAATCTCAAATAACTTAAATAATCAAATTACTTAATTTATCATTAATGCTTTTGCAATATATCAAACTTCTCTCTTTTAAAAATAAGATAATTTGATGAAAGTAAAAGTTCTAACAGTTCATTAAATTATTAATAAAGATCTTTCTGCACCCACTCACATGTTCATACTTTTCCATATACACAAATATAAAATTCTACCCTCATTCCTTCTTTTCCTGGAATAAGAAACTCTTTAAGTCATGTAAAAGTCACTACATCATAATAAGAATATTTAACGACTTTATTTGACAATTGTGGCATTCTTCTTAAAAATAGTGTTTGACTATTTTTCCCCTATCTCTCCTAAGAGAAATTGTTTTGTCTTTTTGTCAACTCTAGATTTCTTTTTAAATAAATAAATTCAATTATTTTATTAAACACACACACACACACACAAATGCTATTTGAATTGTTGGAAAGAGAGAAGTGAAACACACATGAGAAAATTTGGCATCAAATAAGTACTTAAAAAAATGCATATGTCACAATGTGTACATACTGGTTTTAGGAGGATGCAGATGGCAGCCTCCAAGGAATAATGAGGAAGGTTTAAGAGAGGGTTTATTGACTGGGCGCAGTGACTCAAGCCCGTAATCCCAGCAGTTTGAGAGGCCAAGGTTAGGCAGCTTGGTAAGACCACATCTCTACAAAATATCAGAAAAATTAGTCAGGCATGGTAGCACACGCGTGTAGTTCCAAAAGCTGAGACGGAGGGATCACCTGAGCTCTGTGGCTCAATGCTGGGTGGTCGTGAGGGTGCCACAGCACTCCATCCTGGTCGA